ACTATTATGAGTCATAACTTTGCATCTTTTTGTTTAATTTAAATAAAAGAGCAAATTTGAGAAAAGTTGCAATGCTGTGTCCAGATTTTTTATCAAAAAAATTTGTAGTACTTTGGGAAATTCAAGCTTTGTACCTTAATGTACTGATTGCACTGGACTTGTCTCCACTGCACATAGTGTCAAAGCTCTCTGCCTTTAGCATGATAAATTTAAGTAGAATTTATTTTCTAAAGAGAAATGTTTATTAGGGTTACCAAACATAAATATCACTGAATGACATAGCTTAATGTATGTGACAAATTCTAGCATTGCATGAAATGTACTGTCAATTATCATAATTATTTTAGTCTATCTAATTACACTTGAACTAATTAAGGTATATTTCCTTTCTCTTTTAGTATTAAGTCAATGGTATGGCATCACCTTGTCGCAATCGAAGATCACTGAACGAACTTTCGCCTGTGATTAAAGAAGTAGACAATACTCTGAAGGAGCAGTACAAGATAGGAGACTATGTTTGGGTCAAAGTCAAGACACAGCCGTGGTGGCCCGCAGAGGTAAATCACTTATAAATCTGCCGTGGTGGCCCACAGTAGGTAAATCAGTTATAAATCTGCCGTGGTGGTCTCCACAGAGGTAAATCAGTTATAAATCTGCCGTGGTGGTCTCCACAGAGGTAAATCAGTTATAAGTCTGCCGTGGTGGTCTCCACAGAGGTAAATCAGTTATAAATCTGCCGTGGTGGTCTCCACAGAGGTAAATCAGTTATAAATCCGTCGTGGTGGCCCACAGAGGTAAATCACTTATAAATCCGCCGTGGTGGCCCACAGAGGTAAATCAGTTATAAGTCAGCCGTGGTGGTCTCCACAGAGGTAAATCAGTTATAAATCTGCCGTGGTGGTCTCCACAGAGGTAAATCAGTTATAAATCTGCCGTGGTGGCCCACAGAGGTAAATCAGTTATAAATCTGCCGTGGTGGTCTCCACAGAGGTAAATCAGTTATAAATCTGCCGTGGTGGCCCACAGAGGTAAATCAGTGTTAAACCTGATGTTTTAATGCCATGGTTGTCCGCAATGATATAAATCAGTTAAAGGTCAAATGTTATGATCCTTTGGGGCCATGCAGATGTGCAAATGAAAATTTTCAATTTGAATTTTACTAATTTTAAGAAGGAATTCTTTATTTGTTTCTAGTTTAATTGATGTTGCTTGTTTGAATTAAAAATTCATCTAAGGATCTGTCTTAAACTTTAATTTTAAAGGTAGTTGAAGATGAACGTATGCCAGAGTTAATGTACGAGAATACACGAAGACCAGTTGTTGTCAAGTACTTAGGAGAAGATGAATAGTGAGTGCACCTGTACCAAAAATAAAATGTTAATGTATAATTGGAAAAAAAAAGAATTGTAGATATGACATCCTGAGTATTACAATAAGCAAACAAAGCTGTACTATATCAGCTCTGATCCATCACTTCTTGAAATGCTCATTCAAAGATTGTTTAGATTAGCATTATTGTTTTCTATCTGATTTGAGATTTGCTGTTTATTTAGAAATAATTAAGGTCAGACGACACTTCCTCAAAAATATAAAATGTGTTCAAATTGGGAAAATTTTCAAAAGGACTAATTTTGTTATTTCCCCCCAATAAATGAAAATGAAGGGACCAAAAAGCGTCTGTGTTACAATAGAGTAAACAACTGTAGACAGATATAAAGAGTTACATATAATTCAGCTGTTATTTGGATGATTAAAAAAATGATTGGATAATGAAATATACCAGATATAAATATCATTTAGTTTCATTAATTTATGACTGATAAAAGGAAAAAAAAGTTTTTAATTGGATAATGGGAATTTTAAGAATTTTTTTTTAGTTTTTATATATTTATATATATTCCATTCATGACTGAGAATAAGTGAACATAATTTTTTCTTGTACTAATAATAAAATTAATTCCAAGAAAATATTATTTTTAAATAGGGTAAGTCGGGGTAATTTCGACCACGGTTCAATTTCGACCACACAAACACAACACTGCATCATGATTACGGCATTGTTGAGACAAGTTTCTTTAATTCGGTTTTAAAGTAATCTATTCCTAAAATTGGATTTCCTAGTATAATTTCTCATCGCAAAAATGGTTTGGTCAGAGGTATAACTACTTTTTTCCAGTATTTTTTATTTCTCCAGTTTGACACTCGGAAGTCCGTCTTCAGTGCGCTTGATGTGATCAACGAAAAACAAGAGAGATAACTCGTACGACCTCTTTTTGAGTTAGACAATGTTCAACATTTTAACAGTTTGAATTAAATTGAAATTATTTTATTATTTTCTTGGAGTGTAATAAGTAGCTGAATTTCACATTTTTATCTTGGATTTTTCTCAAAAAGCACAAGAAACGTCCGTTTGAATTTGGTCGAAATTACCCCTACTGTTTTTAAGGACGCGGGGTAATTTCGACCAGTGACGTAATAAGGGGAAATATGTGTAAGTTATGTTTAACAGCTGTATAATATTCAATGCTGATTTAAATCTCTAAAATAAAATTAAATATTATACTGTATAATACACAAAATTCTTTAAATGTTGAAAGAAAATAATGTACGATTAAAAAATATATGCATGCATTGCGATCTACAATGTATCCCTATATTGTCTGAGCACATGGAGCAGCGGTGAGGTTGCACTCTCTAACTGATGTAGAGAACTTTATACATGGCGATAGCAATCAAAACGATTCAAAAACCCAAATTGATATATGAAAATATGCAGAGAGAATTAAATATGATTACGGAATGAAGTTTTTGTATTTTTTTTTTATTATTGCAAAATTATTTGTTTGACAGACAAGATTATGAGGATATCGGAAACCAAGAACCAGTAGTTTTAAGAACGTACATATATCATGCAGTCTATGTACACAAATCCAAGTACATGAATATATGTATCAAGCAAGCTGTGTGAATAACACACATAAAGAACTGCAACAATATTGAAAGAAAAAATATGATTTTAAGAAATAATTTGTTTGAGTTTGTTTTTTTTTCATCGCGGGGGAGGGGGGAAGGGGGGGGGGCTCAGAGGAATTTGCTTTTGCACACTTCTTTCATATGATTTGATAGAATTTCTCAGGATTTTAAACAATTAACAAAACATATTTTTAATTATTTTCAAAGCAATTCGTAATACAACGCATTTCAAATAGATTCGCATATGCTTAAAAGCGTTCAAACCTAAAAAACACTTTGATTCTGTTGAGCCTCGGAAAAGACGATTTGAAATGAAGTACAGTACGGACAGACTGGACAGTTTAAAAATCTGAATAAGAAAAATTTTGTTTCCATAACTACCACATGACAATATAGCATTGTTTGGAAATTAGATTTGGCGAATTAAGATGCAGAATAATGAATAAGAATGAAGATGTCAAAGGCTGCAATGAAAAACTTACGGTAACCCAACTCATTTCTTTACTAAATCAACAAACATACATGTAAGTATAATACTGTTAATACATGTAATTAATTTATATTTAATCTTTTTTTGACACACACTTATATTTCCTATAACAGACAGTTTATTTTCTTAGAACATAAATTTTGAATAAAATGCAATAGGTAGAGTTCAATTTCATCGTAAGAGTTATCTTTCCTGTTGATGTTTGTTGTGGTCGAAATAACCCCGAGTCTGGTCGAAATTAACCCAGGCATCATGGTTACTAATTTTTTAACCAATTTATTATTTTTTAACATATTTTTAGTTCGTAAAGCATAAAATTTGAATAAAAAATCAATCTTCTTTACTTCGAATCTGTTTTGAACTTGTACATTTGAAAACGGTCAAGTTTTGCAGATTGAAAGCCATATGTCAGCATAAGTGGTCGAAATTACCCCAGTTTATCCTAGTTTTACTTTACATTCATTTCAGTGTACTGGAGTAAAAGATAAATTTTAAAAAATAGTTGGAAATAATATTTTGGAAATTAATTATCTATATTGATTTTAGTGTGTAGTAACATTAATTATAACAAATAAATGAAAATATATCTTTGAATAAGAAGATAGAAAAGTAGGATGTCAGATTTTTTGCGTTTAGGCAAATTAGTCAAACCCTTACTATTTTTAGCTCACCTCGACAAAGTCGACATGAGCTTATGCTATACCCCCGGCGTTGGCGTCGGTGTCGGCGTCTGCGTTAGCGTCGGCGTCCCAGGTTAAAGTTTTAGGAGAAGTCCATTCCTAAGTAACTATAAGCCCTACCTGAACCAAAGCTCTACCCAGACCAAATTTGCATGGATGATGCATCTAGGGATGGACACTACCGTACTTGCTTCAGATGCTGGATCTGAATTACATTTTCCAGATGAGTGACCAGGTTAAAGTTTTTGGAGCAGGTCCATTCCCAAGATGAGTAACCAGGTTAAAGTTTTTGGATAAGGTCCATTCCCAAGTAACTATAAGCCCTACCCGGATCAAACTTGCATGGATGATGCATCTAGGGATGGACACTACCAGACTTGCTTTGGATGCTGGATCTGACCTACATTTTCCAGATGAGTGACCAGGTTCAAGTTTTTGGAGGACGTCCATTCCCAAGTAACTATAAGCCCTACCCAGACCAAACTTGACTGGATGATGCATCTAAGGATGGACACTACCAGACTTGCTTCGGATGCTGGATCTGACCTACATTTTCATTCCCAAGTAACTATAAGATCTACCCGAACCAAACTTGCATGGATGATGCATCTAGGGATGGACACTTGCTTCGGATGCTGGATCTGACCTACATTTTCATTCCCAAGTAACTATAAGACTTACCTGAACTAAACTTGCATGGATGATGCATCTAGGTATGGACACTACAAGACTTGCTTCGGATGCTGGATCTGACCTACATTTTCATTCCCAAGTAACTATAAGACCTACCTGAACCAAACTTGCATGAATGATGCATCTAGAGATGGACACTACAAGACTTGCTTCGGATGCTGGATCTGACCTATATTTTCCATAAAAGAGACCAGATTAAAGTTTTGGGAACAGATTAATCCCAATGAACTCAAGTCCTTGATATCTGCAGTATTAACAAATTTATGAAGATTTGTTTACACTATACATGTTTTTCACGCTACATGCATAGAAATGTGTATATGCCATGTAAGGGGTTAAACACAACTTGCAAGAATATTGTTGTTGGGATAAATACTAGACATTAAGAAAATATGATGTTAGATTTGCATTACTTACACTGATAACATTCGTCGAGGTGAGCTTCGTAATCTTTGATTACCTATGTTTAGATAATGGAAGGAAGTACACAGTAAGCTCATTGACAACTTTTATGATATAAACTGCAATCTCTTTTTTGATAGGATTTAGGTGACTTAAATGAAACAAGTGATTAAATAACTTGAGTCACTAAACATCGTAGGTGATTTACCAAATGAACTACATCACTTATATTTATAGCTCGACGATACGATCACACGTTGACACCTATTGAGATTTTCAGATGTCTTGCAGGGAAACAAATATCTTACTTCTCTCTGAACTCTCTTAAACTTTTTTTACAGGGATATGAAATTGGGAAAAAAGGGTTCAGAATTGGGAAATATGGCTGATTATTTGATTGGAAATGGGCCCGGTAAACGGACCCAAAAATAAGCCAGGAAAACCCCTGGTACTTAAACAAATTTCCTCACAAAAAATTAAGGTACCTTACCAGGCATTTGGACAAGGTACCACAAGTCATATTTCTTATATAACTATAATATAACCCTTATTGGTAGTCTTCTAAATGGCCTATATCACAATTTTTAGTTTACAAATATTTAAAAACATTCTGAAACCGATATAGAAATCAGAAGAGAATTACAAATTTGAATGTTTTTTGATATACTATAGATCACTTAATTTTCGCGAGATAGTCATTGACTCTTGATTAGCGAGGCAAAATTTTCACAAATTGTGGTTATTGCTCTATATAATCTTAAGGAATACTATTATACACGAGAATTAAATTTTCGCGAGCACAGTGTCTCGCGTAATTATGCGAAAATATAGTCCTCACAAATAAAAAGTGATTTACAGTAATACCAAGAGATACAAAACTTATAATTTGAGGAACGTGTCATCTGACCTTAAGAAATATGCCACAAAATAGAAAACAGAGATTTATTTAATTTTTGAACTCAAGGATGGTATATGGTCATTGAATGCAACATTGAATTTATCAAATTAATTGTTGCAGTGCACGAATTACCAATCCAAAATCGATCTGCCTTTACAATTGTCCAATGAGGGAGACATACAAAGTAGAAGGTTTGTATTAGAAGGGTGTACCACAAATTAGCCATCATTGAATTGACTCCTGTGTTCACTCTTGTTTAACATTTCAGGAAAAGATCAATTAAAATATTTTTTGGTCATGTTGATGAATTTTTTACCTTTCTGCTATTATTTTTTACACTTCACTTAAAGTTCTCAAAATCAGTAGAATGGAGATTTTTTTCTGAAGAGTATTAGCATTTAGTAAAAAGTGGCAAAGAAATAGAAACAATTTCATATAGCTGAATAATTCTGAAGTGCTAAGATTCATGCTAGACATATACTTAAATGTGCTTTGCAATATTTTCACTGTAGGTCTTAGAATGAAAACATCCAAAGGCAAAGAAACAAGAGAAATATTTTTAAGGGCATTAAAGCTGGCTGAAAATCTAGACAAGAATTCAGGTAAATTTTCAGTCACACTACAGGAAGAGAAATCCCACTTAAGTGTATCAATTTGACATGAGAATGTATTTTGAAATTAATTCAAATTCATTTTAACAAATACATGATCACTGATAGTAAAGTGTTAATATTTTGTCCAATTCATAAGTTTGTATTAATAAAGGAGAAACATAGGAAGCTCGAAAATGGCAGAAATCTTGTGCCATGACCTTCACATCATAACAATCAAACAATGTCAAAGCTACTGGAAAAGAGAGGCTTCATATTTATTTAGCTCATACCTGATATGATTATGGTTTACAACTTGCATATGTGTGTCGTGAACTTGAGCCTTGAGGGATATCACCTCAATAGATATAAATATAAATAAATTTATGAATTATAAGACAGTCACTGTGTGGGTATTTTCGATTTAATATGATTATATAGATTGATTTACATGTATATATGGATCTCCCATGATCCATCCATGCTTACGCAAAAACCATTGTGACATCACAACTGCACTTAATTAAAGGATATCAAAAAAATATCCTATGCATCATATCCATGGGCTAAAGAGTTAGAACATGGGATAAAATGTACATTCACTTTAAATTAAGATGTAACTGTAGCAGTATCCATGAATAATCCAATCTTAATGCTGTGTGTGTTTCTTTCTTTTTGTCCAGACTTAGAGGCGTCAGAGGCTTCAATGACAGATAAATCAGGTGAACACAGGAAATGTTTGTTCCAGTCAGATCCAGACCAAAAGGATGATTTAGATAGTCAGACAAAGAAGACAGAGGAATCAGTGAATATCAGAAACACAGAGAAATCTAGGAAATCTACATCAGAACCACAGGAGGGTCATACGAGGTCAGCTGGTCCTCTACCTGTGTCAGAATCACCTGTCCCTCAGGTGTGTTCCCCGGCTGATGATGAAGTGTCACAGTTCACCCCTGGGGCCTCAGTGTGGGTTAAATTACCCAGACTACCTTGGTGGCCAGCAAAGGTAAAGAGATCCACTTGTGTATCTCATATACATGATGGCAGGATTTTAATGAAACATACTATTTAAGAATGCCTGAGACACATAATTCTTTTATTAACTTATGTTTCCAAGGTTATATTTATGTTTTTTTATCATTTCAAATACTGTAAAATCTCATATTTTCTTGGGGTCAAATTTTCATGGTTTGAGTAAAATCTCTTGGTTTTTGGGGATTTGAATTCATGGATGAAGAATTGTTGAGTAGTTATGTGTATAAGTTTTTACATTTTGTGGTGGACATGAATTTATGGATCTCTACACACCTCGAAAACAACAAAAAATTACCCCCCACAAAATTTTTGTGATTTCACAGTATGCATACTTTTCCTTTACTGGCTTTAGTCTTCGTCTTGTTTCAGTAGAGCGTGTCTTCAAAGAAAAAAAAATCTCTAAATCTTTGTTAAATGCAATATTTTTGAAAGCATTTAATTAGACAAGCATAGATCTGTAGAGCTACAGTCTCATTAGAGATATCTGAATTATGTACATTTAAAAAAAAACTCTTTTAGGTGAAGGAGGTGACAAAGACAGGGAACAAGCCGTCTATCTGTGTGGAATTTTTTAATGAAGTTGACATGTAAGTTGTTATACATTGTACTAGGCCAGCAGTTGTTGGAAATATGTGGATGCTTTGTATTTTCAGTGTAGAAAACTGACATTCTTTAATTTAAGATAAAGGTTTTATGAAATTCAATCTAAAGGAAAAAAAACATGTTTTTAAAATATCACTTCTCTCAATATCACAATCACATGTTATTACTTATCTTTTAGGCATTTGTATCAGATCTTAGTATTTGTACAAAATACATGTATCATTTTGAAAATAAATGCATGTTGTTATTGTCAAAATTACATTTTAACCACAGCATGTAAAATGTTTTGTAGAAACATTTCCTGTAACTTTTCTGTATTTCCTGTTTTTGATACTTTGGGTACATGAATCATTCTTTTGTTTTATTGTTTGACAGAGAGAACATTAAAGACCTTAAGAAAATCAAACAGTTTCGCTGTTCAGAGAAAGAAGACTTCTACAAGAAAGGTACAATCATTACTTTTATGTCTAAACATTTCGATCCTTAAATTTGTATAATGGTGGTAAAAATTCTTGGCACCAAGACATATTTTAGCATGAGAGCCAAATTCGTGATGATTTTCATTATAATTGAAGACCCATACCTTACGGAAAAATAAGAATTAATATCAATGAAAACTTGCAATTTTGCAATATTTTAATTCTCTGTATTTTCCTAGGTATGAAGACTCTTAAGACCAAGCAGAAAACAGATTTATTTGGTGCAGCATATGAAATGGCTACATCCAATATGTTGGACAGGACAGTCCTGAATCTAGAATGTGTTCCTTTAAATCAAATCTCTAGTGGTGAAATATCTGCTGACCCAGAAACTAAGGATTCTGAATCTAAGGTGACACCACTGACTAAAATGAAAAGAAAGAGACAAGCTGACAGTGAAGAAAGTCTGTCTGGTAAAAGAAGAAAAAAACATGGTGGCAAAACTAGTGACACAACAGTGAACCAATCAAACAGTGAGAAAAGTCTGCATAAAACTTCTGTCTCAGGAAATACTCAGGATGATAAAAAACCAAAGTATTCAAGTTATTCTAAAGGAGAACCTAAAATGAAAGGGAAAAAATCTGTGTCTAAGAAAAAGTTTAAGTCTTCAAACTGTGTGAAAACGAACAGTGATAATAATCAGGAAGAACAATTAATAGAGTGTGACGAATCCCTTCCACAATTAATGAAACGAAATAAGACCAGTAGAGGTCAGATAAAAAACTCAACCTCGAAATTCATGAAAAAGAGGAAAACCATGAAAAAGAATAGACAAGGGAGAGACGAGATGCGAACAGAGATACAGGAGGAAAGAGAGGAAGAATTGTGTACGAGGGACGACACTGTTTACAACGAGAGCAGTTCTCCAATCTCGTATGGTGGGAAGCTGGACTATAATGAAGCCAGTTCTCCGATTCCATATGGTGGGAAAATGGATCACTCAGAAGGAAGTTCGCCAATACCGTACGGTGGAGACTTGAACTCTGAGAGGCCTTCATCTCTTACAGAAAACATAACAGAAGAAGAAGGAGTTCAGCATGATTCCCTGAATCTGCAGACAACTAAACATTCACCAAACTGTATGGACACTGAGGAGCTAAACAGCAAAACAGACAGCAAGCAGCTCGCTATCAGTGATGATGGGAAAAGGTAAAACAGAAAACTAATACATATACTAAACGTTTCACAGAATGTCTTATTTTAGTTAAATTAAGTAGCATTTATTCTTATCTTCTTCAGAGAGGACTTTGACCCCAATCTAGATGCTGATGACTGCTATGTTAGTGGATCAGATGATGAAGATTTACCAGATGCACTTACTCCATCTAGACAAGGTATATACACGTATCTTATTCTTTGTCCACACTTTCTTTTACAAAATTATATACAAATGTCTGAGAGAGTTCATTTGGTCAGTTTACCCAAAGTGACCAAATCAATGCAAAATAAGAAAAATAAATAGCAAAGAGGATCAATGCAGTGCCATTTGAAGAGCTCTAAACCAACTTTTACTATGATCCCAAAACTCTGCTACTTTCTTACTTTTCTGTGGCCCTTTTCACAAAATATCTTACGACTCATTGGCCAAGACCAAAACTTTTCCCCATTTTAAACTAATTATCTAAGCAGCGAAAATCTAACGTTACTATTTCATTATATCAATATTTCTTAATTTAATTGAAATTAATTACATGTATTTAGAAAAATATCTTTATAAAATAAATAATTACAGAATGTTGAAACTTTAGTCTAAGTTGTAAGATTTTTTGTAAAAAAAGGCCCACAGATTATTACATTTTCAACTGTGAAATACTGTAATTTATTCATTGAATAAAAGTGATATCCTGTCACAGTGTGAAAGGATATGAGTATGATATCCTGTCACAGTGTGACAAATATCAGAAGTGCAGTAAAACTCTTGATTTACCTTCCCATAACGAAGAGTGTTTTAAAATATTCCTTGGATTGTTATAATATAGAGAGGGAGTAAGGCCAAAAGAAAAAATACTATTGTTTCCTGTCCTCTGACCCAAAAAAATAGGGTAGGTAGGTAGGGAAAAAATTTTATTTTGAGAAAAAATTTTATTTTCAAAATTCAATGAATGCAGGACATATAGCATATAATAAAAATAAAACAGTATGTTTACAGTTTACAAAGCAAGTTTGTTAATAAAGATTTATAAAGTAAAGGTATCCTATACACTTGTGATGTATTAGTTCTATAAATATTGTTGGTCGACTTTTCGAATTTCAGGAAAATAGCCCCCCAAAATGAAAATGTAATAAAAACTTTTAGGGTCGGAGGGTAAAATGTAGGGTAGGTCGGGTGACAGGAAACGAGTATATTTTATTTTGGCCTAAATAAACCATTCTGACAGAGAATAAGGCTGCCAAAGTTCCACAAAATATGTTGTTGAAATCCATGTTTATAATGTTTTCAATATCGTATCAGTTAGCTATGACGTCTCAACCGCTCAACTATGACGTCATGTAGCCAATGATAAAAAGGGAAAATGTCATTGAAAGAAAATGTAATAAACAGAAAATTTAATGTTTTGTCGTTGAATATGGATTTTATTTCACTCGTGAGACATGATTTTTTCACTCGTGCTTCGCACTTGTGAAAATATAAAAAAATCCTCTCCCACTTGTGAAATAAATTCCATATTCAACTACAAAACATTGAGTATCCTCTATATATATTTCTCACCATGAGCAATTGTTTAATTATATACTTGATTACGATGGCTCCCTGGAGTCAAGGTTGGTTTCAAAATGACAAATTTGGAATAAATGAAATTTTTCCAGGATACAGTAGTTGCTTGATAGTATTGCTGTGATATCACAGTTATATTGTGGAATCATTTTAAGGGTTCTCCACACATCCCCAGCTTATGTTTTCATATTACTGTTTATTTATTGCTCATGTACTTTAAACAAGCATATATCTGATAGTCTTAAAACTGGTCTGGAATTGAAATATAATTATTATACCCCACTCCAAGGGAGAGGGGACGGGGTGTACTGGTTTTATCCAAGTGTGTCTAGCTGTCTGTCTGTCCCTTGACCATTTAGATAGAATGTTCTATCGTTAAATTGGTATTGTCCTACGGACCCAGTTTAATGATAGAATTCGTTCCGTGTATTTGTAATGTAGCAAAACAAACACGGGCGAAAACTCATACTCAGTGCATTTAATACGAACAATCTAGAGAGTTCCAATGTAAACATTGCTGGTAATTTTGAAGCGAGAGAAAATCCTTGAGAAAATTATTTGGATTTTGTCTTTACATGGATTATTTTTAGGGAAAAAAGGCATATGCAATCTCAAAAAGGTTTTGATTAATTTGGTAGTAATTTCCAATGCAAATCATTTCATATTCTTCAAAATCATTTGTGGCGGATCCGCTCTGATTTGCTACATTGCAAGTATATGGGACGTATTCTAACTGTGATGAGGGTCAGAGGGCTTGTACCGAGACACAGTTAGTTTATTCTAACTTTTGTCTATTATGCTACAAACACTCAAAGATCTGCCTATTTTATTGAAAAAAAGGACACATATTTTGTGTTCACACCATTATGTAATTAAGCCATGTGTTCATTGTTTATGATTAGGATGTCACTCTCAATTTACTGCATATTTTTCCCATGACAGAAACCTTCATTTATTTATAAGACTATCTTTCTTACATCAGTTATATTCTATAACGCTTTAGCTATAACTTATACTGTATACAGGGTTATTTTCGCCTCGTCTCTATTTCCGCCCTATCAATCTTGCAAACAATTTTGCCCATCTTAAATTCGCCCAGTCACAGTTTTGTTTTAGAAATCCATAATTTTTGCGACACCTTATTTTCGCGAGATAGTCATTGACTTTTTATAAGCGAGACAAAATTTTCACGAATTGTGGTCATTGCACTATATAATCTTAAGGAATTCTATTATACGCGAGAATGAAATTTTCGCGAGCATACTGTCTCGCGCAATTATGCAAAAATAAAGTGCTCGCAAATAAAAAGTGATTTACAGTACTGCATTCTTTAGATTCACCCCGTCTTAAATTTGCCCAACCGAGGTAAGGGCGAAAGGAGCAAAAATAAAACAGGGTTGAGAATTTCGCTGTATACAGTATATAAAAACGCCACAATGATACATCTCACTGCAGATATTTGACTTTCTTCACTTTTATGTTTCCATTTTGAGAAATAAACAGATTATCATTTGTATCTATACACAGTCCCCAGGGTTGACTTAGTCCACAGTCTATGTAATAGAGGAACTGTCCTTCCTGGTCTATGATGTGGACACACTCATTCTTATAATCAGCTGTAAGGATGTGACTCTGACTGTCTGTGGTGATTCCTATTGGACTGAATGGTTTGTTCTTTGGAGCAGGAGTATGTCCAGTGTACCTGAATCTCAGTTTCCCGGCCTGATTGACCACCACTGCTGCTTTAGTTCCATTGTCAGACACACAGATATCCAGATTCCTATTCTCTGTTATGTATCTGGTATCAGATGAATAGAGAGGTTTACCTTTATCATCAAACTGGATGTTTTTTTTCTCTGTGGAGCCAGAGTAACGGACAACTCTTGTTTGTTTGTAATCATCACTGACCATGATAACCAGGAGGTCACCAGAGGAGGTACTACAGACACCGTCAGGTTTCCAGTTCTGTAGTCTGATCGCCTCCTCTATCTTCTCATTCTTCACAATGTTCACAGTTCTATCCATAGCATCAGTATAAACTAGATCTCCACTTTTTGTCACTGCTATATCCCCTGGTATGTTCCCTAACTTGGTTGTGATTGACTTGAGTAGTGATCCCTGATTGATGCTGTAGAGTTTCATGGTGTTGTCCTTAGTTGTCCAGATTTCTTCATCACTCAGACAGGCCACATTGTAAAGGTTTCTATACCCAGTGTTTATGATGCTGACAATCTTTGGTTCAACAAGCAGCTGTTTGACTGGAGGAGAGGATCCAGCTTCTGGTGATTTATGTGTTGTCTTCATGCTGTAGCCATGTTTATCTGAAGTTAAAGAACTTGATGATAAGACTCCAAATAGTTTAAGAAGTTCTTCTTTGTGTATTTTTGGGGGCATGAATTTGGGTAAAGATGGCATAATTTTAAATGGAAGACTTTTATATATATGTACACTGGATGTGACATTAAATAGTTTTGACAAGTCATTAGTGTCTATAGCCATTTCAGCCAAATTGATTTCATCTTTGATGTCAGAAATGTTCTTGTTTATTTCATCCAGATGTTTCTGTAGAGTTTGTAACTGTGTGTTTTTCATCTTATCAACTTCAGCTTTAAGTTTCTTGACAAGTTTGTCAATTTCTCTGTGCCAGTCCTCTCCATGTTTTGTTATGGCTGTTGAGAGATCTCCATATTCCTTTTCTAACTGACTCATTCTGTTTTGTACATCAGAGGCAATGCCCTGGTAGCTTGGATAAATTTTATCATTTGATTCATTTTTTCTTTTGTAATTCTTTCTTTCTTTTCATCCAGAACTCGCAAGATTTTAGATAATTCATGACCTAAATGTTCATTTGATTCAATGCAGCTGATGCAGACAGGAATGTCACATTGCTTACAGTACATGATACATTGTTGTGTATCATGAGATTTACATTCAGGGTAGAGGGGAGTGGATTTCCTGGACTGAAATTTGACGACTTTGTGGTCCTTGGATTCATCTGTTGATATGTGTTCTCCCACGCAGGCCCTACACAGGTTGACAAGACATGTATCACAGTGCATCTGTACCACAGCGGTCTCACACAGGTCACATCGCATCACATCCTGGGCACTGGTACGGGGGTTCATCATCAATTTTGTCTCTAAAGCAAAAAATTGAAAATTAACAAGAAATCCATGCACTAGGTTGGTGGGCCACATGCATTTTGTCAGACCAAAGAACCATGTTGTTTTCTTTCAGCCATTAGACAAATATATACATGTACATGTATATACAGTAAAACTTGTTTAGTACGAACACGGATATAGCGAAGTTTTTTGGGGTCCCTGGCAAAATTCTTAACAATTCTTTTACGGTTTTAAAGAACTCTGAATGATATAGCGAATTTACGGGTAAAGCCAACTGATTTTGAGTCCCACAGAAGTTAAAAATAATGAAATTTACATCTTTTATAGCGAATTTTCAAAAATCTCAATATAAGATATGTTTAACTGACTTTATATTAATCAAGAATTTGCAAACGAAATTTAATTTAAATTCATAACGAAAACCTTAGTTAGCCAAAGCATGAGTCGTAATTATTGCTTCTCTACCATATTCAACAGTAATACTTGAAGGAAAATGTGCATATTGTGAATTTGCTATATATAGTTATACAAATTCGTTATATGGATACATGTATAACGAATTATGGATATAGCAAATTAAATTCACAGGTCCCCATGACTTCACTGTAACAGAGTTTTACTGTGCAATTTTTGTAATTATACATCTTGTAATTATACATCAGACCAGGAGAATTGTTGTTTTTTAAAGAAATGGGGCAAGGCTAAAAAAAAATTGACAAGCAGCTGCAAACAAAAAAAGAAAACATAAACTGTGCATACTCATCCTTTGGGGGGTTGGGGCAGGAGAGGATCTTTCTCTAAGTTTTCTGTAAATCTCTTTTTATTCAAGAATTTGCCAGAGATTGACTTTACAGCAACAAAAAGTTCGGAAACCAAGCAAACTTAATATAAGAATTTTCATGTTAAAACTATCAACAAAGGACTATTGTCCAAAACAAGTTGGAAGGATTGATCTCATGTCACATACTACAAGCCTGCACATGTCCATAAACAATGATTATATTATACATGGGTACAGTCCACTAATTGTTTTCCCATAGGCGACAATGTTAACGTTTCGTCTCATAGCGATGTCCCTAATTTTCGTTCAGAAATGAGTGACCCCTCAAATCAAAGCACATCAACTTGTCTTTCCTTGGTTAAAATCTCGAGGTGGCATGTCAGATTCGTTTTCCGGCAAAATGCGTCTGTCTGCGGGAACCTCTAAAAATGAAAGTGAAAGTAGGGGAATTTCAGGTTCTCACTGGCGTTATAATACACAAAATAATTCGGCTGATCTTCTTGATAAATTACATTTGCCAAGCTTTTTTGGTAGGAAAGATATTCCTTATCAACAAGTGTGAGGCTCAGTTCAGTACATCTGCCCAATTTTTTTTATGCTAGTCTTCAAATTAAGGAACTTGTAATTTTTTCTGCACTACTTTCTTCTCCTACCGATTCTAAAAATAATTAGTGGGATGTACCCAATATGAAAAAGCATTTTTTTGATTTGACAATATTTTACACTGTTTGTCAATCTAGAGCATAAGAAGAGACATCATGCCAAGTTTCATGAAAATTCAACCATTAATTAAGATTTTACAGCATTTACAGTTCTATGTGTAATATCCTTAAAAAATGCTCCAATCTAGCCAAAACTGCACCCAAGTTTTAAGTCAAATTTTAGCCTATTAAACACAATTATACTTTTCTTATTCACCTTCATATCTTTAAATACATATAGTCAAATCATAATCAAGCACTTAATTGGGTCAATTTCACTTATTTTAAAAAATAAATCTATTTCTGCACAAAATATGACCAGTTTTCACCCTATAATTCATAGTTTCTCCAGAAATGACAAAAAAATGAAGTTACCAAATACCCCGAAAGTAGTAAAATAAGAAAGTACTGATTATTTCCTGTCCATTGAGGTATCATTCATGAAATTTGGTCTATGAATAAAAAAGTTATAAGCCTTTACACTCCTATATAGAATCATTTGTTTCAAAGCAATTTTTATGCCAATGCAAATTTACTCATCCATGACGTCACAATGACATCATAATAATGGATAGCTCAATACATGTGTATCATCACTTTTCCCGTACTTTTCATTTAAGACAAAATCGGTGCTAATATATTCATGTTAACAATACAAAATAAAATTATAAGGTTTTGCAGATTAAATAAATAATCTACTAAAATTGTTTTGTTTCCATAGTAACCAGTTTGTAATCTGTAGGAAAATGAGACAAAGTTTTGAATTTCCGGACAAATCGCTTAATTTTGACTGTCAAATATTTATGAAATTTCAATTAATTCTTATATCCGTGTAATCTTAATAATGCATAATTTACAAAACAATGATGTATATCTAATTAATTTGAAATTCTTAAATAAGAAAAGAAAATCAATATGAGCTGCAAAATGTATATAACAGTACATGTACAGATTAATTATAGATTAATACTTTCACATTCTAATCACCTATTTCATATGTACATTTCCTCACCCCCAACCCCCACCCCCACCCCACCCCCCCCCCCCCACTTCAATGATTTTTTTTTTAGAAAACTTTAACTTACACATTTTGCCGACTGTCACATTTTGCTGGTGATGTTTCAAGATGTATTCAAATGGGTGTGTATTTGCTGGCCAATAATTTTAAACACCATCTGCATGAACCTCATGGTTTTCCTGTACCAATCGCCATGAACCTAAAAAAATCAATAAAATAAATGGCACAATATCACATTTGCAGACAGACAGACAGACACACAGACATTCAACACATACAATTTGACCATATTCCTTTAATGCCCATAACTTGAAATAAATTTAAAATGATGAATTTGCTCCCACTTGAAATCACACTGTTAACATTGGTAATTAAGTTATAATTAATTCAGCAGAATAGGTAAAAAGCATGTTTGACTGACAATAATCTGATAATTGTACTTTCAACAAATACATGTAATGCAATTGCTAAATAATATGAGAAAAAATCAGTTAATTTGCATGTTCACACACATCGTTTAACTCCCAGACAGCTGTACCCAGCTTGACCGCGCAACTGATCTGAAATAATGTATGTCACATACGTGATGTGTCGATCGACATCATCTTCCAAAAACATTAAATTGCTACTTACAAATACTGTACTAAGGTATACCTCTTACATCCTGTGTAAAATACAAATGCCCATCACATATATACTGCTAAACACTGCACTGAACAGTTTTGATAACTTTCTGCTAAGTCTACTTTCACTTCGACCTTGACCCTGATTGAATACCGATCCCGACCTCCTTTGTGAATTTTTGTGTATTGAAAATAAACCACAGTGGAGCATGTACTTTTACATAACTGCTTCTTAATCAATTTACATATTTATGATTCTGAATAAATAAATGATATAAATCGATACATTTAATCTACATGATACATGTGTAAACAATGGGAGATACATGTACGAGAATGTTGACTGTTCCGTGGGGGGTGGGGGTGTTCTAGACACTTAATTTATGAATCAATTTGATTGAAAATGTGTATCAACAATATAAGAATTGTTTTTTTCATAAATTTGAACAATTGAAAATATTAGAAAACACCAACTTTGAAATAAATTCAAGATCTATGACATCTTTCACTTACTTATAGGCTTCCCAATATGGGTACAGTCCACTAATTGTTTTCCCATAGGCGACAATGTTAACGTTTCGTCTCATAGCGATGTCCCTAATTTTCATTCAGAAATGAGTGACCCCTCAAATCAAAGCACATCAACTTGTCTTTCCTTGGTTAAAATCTCGAGGTGGCATGTCAGATTCGTTTTCCGGCAAAATGCGTCTGTCTGCGGGAACCTCTAAAAATGAAAGTGAAAGTAGGGGAATTTCAGAGTTCTCACTGGCGTTATAATACACAAAATAATTCGGCTGATCTTCTTGATAAATTACATTTGCCAAGCTTTTTTGGTAGGAAAGATATTCCTTATCAACAAGTGTGAGGCTCAGTTCAGTATATCTGCCCAATTTTTTTTATGCTAGTCTGCAAATTAAGGAACTTGTAATTTTTTCTGCACTACTTTCTTCTCCTACCGATTCTAAAAATAATTAGTGGGATGTACCCACATGTATCTAAATATGTTTATTAAATCTTTGATTTTAAAATAAATTTTTCTTCCAATAGTTCAAGTCTGCAAAATTAAATTTTTCAATGTGAACTTTTCTTATGCACAGAAAAACTTGCTATATTCGATTCCTTACCTGACTTCAGTAATGGCAGCTATTTTCGATCAATATCAAGTGCACTCTCTATGTACACTGATCACGTGACACGCCTTTGGTACATTTGTATTTACCTGTCAGTTGTTGATACCTCCTGGTCTAGAAGGAGATTTAAACAACTTATTAAAGCAAATGCTGTTTAAAATTCAAGATTTATTTCATAAAATACGGTACAGGTACCTGGTAGACCAATTTCTGTAATTTGAATGGATTCTTCGAATTCATAACTGTCCCTACCTTTACAAAAGCTTAAGGTACACTTTCTCCATAACCAAAATAATCAGACCTCAGGGCTCTCACACCACTTTTTGGGACTGGGGCCGGGGCCATTCAAATTGGGAAAATTATTGTCCTTTTGGGAAAAGTTGGATAACCAATATTCATTGTAAAAAATCCTCAAATTTTGCTTCTCTTGCATAAAATTTGTCATCAATTTATTAACTCTGGTTTTGAATAAACAGTTAAACAGAACAAACATGGCTATGTAGGCTATTTATGAAAGTACATTGGCTTTGTCATAACTATCTTTTAGTCTTGATATTGCAGTTATCTGTCTTTTTGAGTGACAGTTGCTAGTCACATAGTCCTGAATTTCCTCGATCACATGGCCTTTTAACTTTGCTTACCGTATTACACCGCGAGAATGAACATGTCCAAGCAATGGGATTGTTTCTAGGTGCAGCTTATTTAAATGTTTAAATGAAATATCTATATTTGAAACCCAAATGATGTTTTTTGTCATTTTGTACAAATAATAACCTTGTTCCCAGAACCAGTTTACGAATACATTTGGCACGAACTATTAAAATAGTCGTACAGTTTCACTTTCATTTGGAAGTGTGTTTTGTTAAGGGTTTTTGCGATTAAGTTTCATGGACTTTTCTTTTTTAATCTTGAAGTTTAAAAAATATTTTGTTATGGAAATTGGGAAACTCACACCTTTTCTTTTGGGAAAAAAGGTACCTTTTTTGCATTGGGAACGGGGCCGAATATCGGCCCCAGATTTAGAGAATCGAGAGCCCTGGACCTGTTACATAATAAACTAACTTGTCACAAAGTTTCAAAAGGTGATGAAGAAATATAAAATAGCTATCATGGAATTGGTTAAAAACTTCAGTATTTTTTTAGCCAAAAATTATACAATTTTAGTAAAAAGGAAATATTAAATAGATATAAGTTTGGATTCTGTGCTACTAAAAACGAGAAGCATCTAATATTTGTGGTGCATGTTACATGTAAAGTATGACAAAAAAATATATTGACCTCTGAGTGATTATAAATTCTGTTATTCTATATTACAAATGAAGGTCCACGTATCATCACAAAGGATTTTCATTCTGTTCTTAATTTTTTGTATTTCAGTGACAATTAAAGAGAGAGACATTGTATGGGTAAAGTGGAAGGGATGCCCTGTGTGGCCAGCTGTTGTAAGTACAATGATATAAATCAGCACAACACTAGATCTGTCTGCATATTTTAGTATTTCTTTTGATTTTAAACTCTAACTATGCATGCCAAGCAGTTATTAATTTGGGAAAAGGGAATGGTTTTTACAATTGACAATGAGGTCTAAATAAGGTCCTTCACAGAGCAGTGGAAAATTGACTTCAGCTACCACACAATAAGCTCTTGGTCCTCAAGAAATCCTCTTTTTTCTTTATTGTACATGGACTTGATAGATGGATTGATTTTAATTGGAATTATTAATTTACAATGTTAGATCTCTGTGAACAGGTCAGAAGACTGGGTAAGAAGAAGAAGAAAATCGTTAAGGTGTCCCTCACCCTCATTGAGCCTCACAGCTCTATCCCTAAAAGGTAACTTCTTGACTGAAGAGTTCTCTCAAAGGGAGATAATTAATTGATAATTAGTTTCTTAATATTTTCATAGTTTGCATGATTCAGAATAATATGCTTCAGTATGCAGGTAGAACTCTGACAATTAATGACTTTGTTGCATTAATTTGAATTTTTAACATATCTATGTTCTTCAGGTAAACTTTAGGTTAAATTTCATGTATTATGTTATTTTTTAGGTTGACCCTGAATTACAATCCTAGGACAGTAATTCCTTATAACACCCAGGATTC